AATTTGAGAATCATGAAAGTGCTTCCAGTCTGGAAAAAAGGATAGACAGCTGTTTTCATCCACAGGGCAACGGACAGAAAGCGGACTTTATGACTTTTAATTGAGTAACACAATCACGATGTTGGAAAGGCACTCAAAATGTCATCCAAAGCATTTCTGCATTTCAAGACAATATCAACTATATGTGTATCATTCTAAACAAACTTTCTTAAAGGTCTCCCAATACAGAAACACAATTTCCCTAGCCAAAATTGCTAAGCATTCCTTTGGTATTCTTACTCTTAGAAAGCTTTTCAAAATTTTTCTTTGCAGCAGCTGCATGCACTTGATGACACTTACTGTCGGTCCCAATCAGCCTTCCCTTTTCTAGACTAAACAACCATAATAATTAAATTCTTTTCTCAGAGACTACTTTTACACTTTTCATCGTTCTCACTCTTCTTGACTCTTTACAGTTAGTAATTTTTAATGAAGGGCTGTAATGCCTAAATCTAGATGCAGTTCTTAACTGAGACATGGCTGAGTAGATTGTCTTGCAAGCAACACTTTTGTTATCTATCAGAGTTTTGTTTCCCTTTTTAGTAGTACCACTGTTTGACAATTCATGTTGCTCTTGTGAGCCACTATAATCCCAAGATCCTTTCTGCTAAACTACTACCTAGTCAGTTAGCCAGTTGTACCCCATCTTATTTTTAGGTACCTGAATTTCCTTCTCTATATTAACCTTGTGGTTACCTGTATTAGCTTTGTGCTTATCTCTATCTTTCAGACCATATCTCTGATACATAAAACCTTTCTAAAGAGTCTACTCCAGTATATTTGAAGGCTCTTGCAACTAGATGGTGGCTGCAGAGTTAATATTCCATTATACAGGTCATACGTGAATATACTGAAGTAACCAGACCCAGCATAGCCGCTCACAGAATCCTCAATGTATTCTCCTATGAGTATAAATATACTCTATATCATAAATATTTATTTTATAAATTATTTATTACAATATAATACATATTATTAATGTAAGTACATTAGATGTATGAGTATAAATATATATATATGAATATAAATATGTACTCAGAAGCTTCCCTTCTGAGCGTAACTTGCCAAATGGTACTGGAAAACAGACTATCCATTCCATTTATGTACAAGAAGATTTAGATATTTCTGGATGAAAATGTTAGATGTCTATCAGCTGTAAGCAACAAAAGCACAGCATACAGAGAATATTTTAGTCTGTGCTGCCATAAGGTGTCAACTATGTGGACAAATGGATAAGAATAGAATGAAGTGAAATTTCTATACACTTCATGTGATGCTTTCCACAGAAGCATTCACTTCACAGACTAAGCATACAGATTATTCTGACTGGCTTCACAAAAATAATAATTTGGAGAATAAATTGAATAATATTATTTTATTTGGAACTGCAAGAGAAATGTAAATAGATGGTAAAGAAGTCATAATTCAACAGGCCACTAATTGTTAAAGTCTTCTGGGTTTTATGAAGAAGACCCAGTTAAATGAGAAACAATTCCCTTCTAATTTGAACGATAGGATCGTACTCCCAACTGCATAAGGAACTTGATTGTGAGGCACCAATGTAATTCTCATTCAAAGAGAAAAGTATTAAGTAATCATGTTTGCACCACCTATTGGTCTGTCATTTTTCTAAATACCAAGCAGGCCAAACTTGGTTTGTATAAGATGGTATGAAACAGGACAATGTTTACGCCGAGGAGAAGAGATTTAATGCAGTGAATAGGTCAACACTGACATGCATTATTAAATAAAATAGCTGACCTATTCTAAACACAAACTACTACTCCAGATTCTATTACTGTACCTATATATTTCTTTGGAAAGCTTTCTTATAAAACATGAGAAAGGAATTTTCAAAGAAATACAAAACAAAGTAGCATCAGGTAAAAATTATAATATATGATAAACCTCATAAGATTCATATTTCTGTTTTAATGTCTGTAGAAAGCATCTCTAACTAGACTATATAATTCCATACAGCGTGACACTTGTAGAATTCTTAAGACCAGACAAGCACAGATTTCTGTATTGAAGCAAAGAAAAAGATTGTTGTTAAAATCCTAGTAGACAGATGTAATTGTTAGAAAAAAAAGGCAAGAAAAGTTGAAAGCTGAGAAAAAGCTTGAGAAAGCACAAATGAAGCCAGCAGAACTGATAGTTTTACATTAAACTACAGGAGCTTTCTGTTACTATCTACTAATAAACCCTCCTGTAACTAAATAAAATGCCTCTCTACTACTCTGTTGCTTGCAGCCCACCAAGATTGATCCATTGGAGCCTGCCTGCAGACATCTGGGCTTTCAGAGAGACAAGTAAAAACACAGGACCATCTAAGAGGACCAACTGTCTGTAAAAATATTCAGTTGCTACTATGAGTCATATAACAAGAGAAAGGTGTAAAGACAGGATATACAATAAGAAAGTTTCATTTGAATTCTAAAAGCTGATTTATTTTTAATTTTTAAATTGAACAAATGACAGAAAGTTCAATATTGTTGACCATGAGTTTTTGAAATTTTCACAGAAAGCCCTACAATTCTCATGGTTGGAGACACCATGATCATAATCCCATGGGTTTTACCAAACTAAAGACATAGTAATAGATATAAATCTTAATTTATCTCTTAGAGGATTTATTTTTGTATTTTCACACAGTACTTTAAAGGAACTTTTTTTTTTTCATATCATTAATTTCAGGAAAATATATCCCTAGTCTTAAAATAATAAGTTTACATTTAATAACAAAACAGAATGATTCAAACGGTGACATAAGTAAAGAAGATATCTTTGTAAGAAAATACTTCGGTTTCTCACAAGAAATAGTACTTATTATTTTACCATTATTTCCTATATTGTATAGAGTAACTATTATCCAATTCGATTTTGGATAAAGTTAAGAGAGATCATAAAAAAAATTGTGCTTCCGTAACAAGTAAGTTAGTTTACAAAGCAGCAAAGAAAAATTCAATTTCATCTTTCAGAATACTGGCCTAATTCTCTTCCTGGTTTGCTGTTGTACACCTAGAGAAATAGGTATATTCACTTAATTGCTGAGATTTTGAAACACAAAGGTAACTAGTTGTGCATATTATTTCTCCATTAAAGTTACACTGGTTACATTCATCTTCAAAGTTCTTTAGAAACATGTATTTCCTATTAAATAATTCTTTCTGAGAGAGGTGAATTAATGAAATGTAAAAAAATTAATAATAAATTTTAGAAAGACGGCATCAGAAATGTGAACTAATGGGATTTACAGATACAGCTGAGTACTACATGCCATATGCACTTGAAGTATTTGTCAAATAAAGTATGTCAAAATATTTTTCACAGAGATGTTCGTGTCCAACTGCTATCTAACATCTGAAGGACTGTAACAATCAATAATTTCTTTAGGGTGTATTTGGAAATGCCAGCATGCCCCCATCCTGGCCCCAGTTTTCATTTTCCACTTTTTGTATCACATGAGTTTGAATTGTATAAATGCTATAGCCTTATTTACACTTCTCATTAACTGTTGTGCTAAGACACAAGACAGGAAGTTTATGATCAAAGATGTTTTGAAATATCTGATTGCACTGCCACGTATCTATGGATGTACATTTCACGCTATATGTATAAAATTAAAAAAGGAAGATAACATAGGTTACATACAAAGTGCCCTCTTGTGGTTCCAAGCAGGTAAACTCAAACAGATTTACGACATAGTATATATTTAAATGGATTTCTAATATACAACCACATTGTTTTAGGAAAACACTATAGATTATTATTCAGCCCAGCATTTTTCCTGCAGCAAATACTACTAATGTAATTTCTTTGTCCTATCTGCACATAGTACCTGACAAGTACAAGCTCTCTCTCTAATGGATCGTGTCTAAGGCAGACAATGTCTGCGCTACTGTAATGACATAGCTACCGCATAAACTTTTGGCCATTAAGGACATGATTGTCCTGGCCCTTCCTGAAACAGCTCTTCAGGTATACCAGAAAAAAAGTTTTTTGGCATTCTTTATTCAAAACGTCTAACAGTGCTTTATATATCTTGCTTTATACTGTATTTTTCCAATAAAATTAATCTCAGCGGAAGACAGGTTTGCTAGAGTAACTTAATGACAGCCTTTAATCATAAAAGAGTTCAAGGGTAGACATGGCCTAACTTTCATTCAGTTCTCGTACACAATATTTTTTCTACCTCACTGGGATTTGCAACTTTCATTTCCAAAGGCAAGAAAACTTCCCAGGTGTGCTGGTTTTGGCTGAGATGTTGCTAACACAAGGATGTTTTCGCTATTGTTGAGCAGTGCTTGCACAGAGTCAAGTCTTTTTCTGTTCCTCACACCACCCCACCAGCCAGTAGGCTGGGGGTGCACAAGAAACTGGGAGACAACACAGCTGGGACAGCTGACCCCAAGGGACCAAAGGGATATTCCATACCATCTGATGTCATGCTCAGCATATAAAGCTGGGAGAAGGAGAAAAAAGGGGGGGACATTTGGAGTTATGGCCTTTGTCTTCCCAAGTAACTGTTACATGTGATGGAGCCCTGCTTCCCTGGAGGTGGCTGAACACCTGAAGATGGGAAGTGGTGAATGAATTCCGTGTTTTGCTTTGCTTGCCTGCACGCTTTTGCTTTCCCTATTAAACTGTCTTCATCTCAACCCATGAGTTCTCTCATTTTTACTCTTCTGATTCTGTCTCCCACCCCACCAGCGGGCAATGAATGAGCAGCTGTGTGGTGCTTCATTGCCAGTTGGGGTTAAACCACAACACAAGACAAATAATAACCCTGCATTCTCAAGCAAGAGATGAATCAGCAATCCACCTATTTTGCTTTAAAATGAGCTTTACAAACTCATCTATTACCTGTTCGTTCATCAAGTAAATAAAAAGGGAGTTTTCATAAAATGTGAAACTAAACAGTGACACAAAAAAAGCAAATACAACGAAACCATAAATACCTTTTTGGCCTTGGTTTTTTTTTCATAAGTCTCTGATAATGGTTTTCTTTTTTCCTGAGTGGTGTCTTTGGAGAATAAGTATTCAAATTCAGTAGTATCAAGTATATCAGGTTCTTCCAGTGATTCCCATAATGTTGGCATAGCAGTTTTCCTATAAAAGGAAAGGTAATAATAGAATTTCCAATATACATATATGAAAACCCATAACAGATCTAGTCATAATAGATGAAAAAACGTAACAGATTTAAAAATTCAAAGCAACATGCACTGCTGCTATACAAACAGAATCCCTTCCCTGTACCTCGCTCTTGTAAGGAGTCAAAGTGTTTTGTAGAAGGCTGTACCAAAAGGTTTAGCTATTTAGTATCCATGCCTGCTAGAGTACCAAAATGCATGATTTGTATTGTACAGTTTTTTGTACAAGAACCGAATATTACAACTGCAGCTTGTGCAAGTACATCTCAAGACATTTCTGCCACTTCAATGAGGATCAGGAGTATTTCAAGCAGAGCTTTTTTGAGAAATTCTCAGTAATCTGTTTAGACCCACAAAAATAAACAATATCAACAAATAGTGAACAAACTTCATTCAAGCATATTTTAAGAGCACTTGGGGTCATTTGTATAGGACTTGATTCACTTCATGCTATCTGCAGACATTGTATGTTCATATTTATCCTTGTTGCAGTTCTGAGAAACTAGAGTAATTATGTGCCCGATATTTTGGGAGACTAAGCAGTATTCTGCTCCCTTCAAACAACTGTAAATATTTAATGTGGATTATCTTTCCTTCTTTTTTTGCACCTTCCAAGACCAGATTTAGTTTTGGAACACTTTGGAACTTGTTTACATAACCCTCTATTTTTATCTGGATTTGGGGAAAACACTATGTAGTGCTGCAAAGATGGCACTTCAATTCTGAATGAGCTTTGCTTCAAAATTTCAATGCCTCAGTAAGATATGTGGGACAAAATTTCTGAGTGCTCTTGTCTCTATCAGTAGAAGGTGGGCTCACTTCTTCCAGCAGATGTCACTAAAAGGCAGTGAAATTATTTCTAATTAAAAAAAAAAAAAAAGGGGGTGATGAAGCCTCCTATAAAATACAAATGGCTGATGTCACTAAACATACGTTTATTAGATGCAATATGCAACAAAATGCAACACCTACCAATTTAAGGGAAACCAAATTTTTTTTTTTTCCAAATTTAGGATTTTTTCTACTTAATATTCAACTGTATATTTACTAACGTGAATGTTTAAGGAAGTCTAATTTTTCCATTAGCATCTGCTGATGAAGCACAGTCTGTGTCACAGGACATACTTACAAGCTCCACAGCTTCATTCTCCCTGATGCTAGCCCTAGTGTCAGACACACTGAAGAATGAAGGATTCTTTCTGGCTCTGCAACAAGAACTTTGAAGTCCTGGATAGCTGCTGATCTGAGCAGCAGACCCTTGAATAAGTTACTAGTTTTAGTGCAGAGCATGAAAATACTGGACCATTACATCTGAACCAGCAGTTCACCAGAAAGCTATGACTGAGACCTTATCTTGCATTCAGCAAAAGCTTGATGAACCAGCAATATTTCAGAACAACATTTTGATTTCAGTGAATCAATAGGAAGAATTACAACAAGGTTTATTTATGGACCAACTATTTATTCACTATGAAACAATTTTTCACTAGCAATTTTGGGAAAGTAAAACCAAAATGCTCAAACTTTCTGCTCCAAAATATTTCAGTGCCTTTAATTCTGAATCGTGGAAAGAATACAACTGATATTTCATTAACTGTTTGTTCCTGTCAAACATTTTATATAAAATATTAACACCTTACAATGATTTATTATACCAGAATGACTTTTTCTCAGCAAAATAAATTCAGACAAAGAGCTATAAACTAAAGCTTGTATTTGAAAGCATTTAAATGCAGATATTTACTTTCTCAAATATAACCCTAAAAATAACTTAAAAAGATTAAATACTAATTGTAAATTATTTGTAATACTTAAATAAGTTATAGTGACTTATTATAATATAAAAAGTAATCTATAATAAATTATCTATAATGTAATTCATAATATATAATAGTCATAGCATATAATAGAGTATGTAATCTAGTGTCTCTATCTATAGTATACCATATATAGCATAATATTATTATATGATTAAGTCATACATAATAATTTATAAAAATGTTTAAAATAAACTTTGTGGTTTTGCAACTACACTTACGCTAAAATAATTTTGAACACAGATAATAACAATTTGAATTTTAAGACCCGAATAATCATGTTATTTCATTACTTGCGTAACAATGGACCTGAATTTTGTTTCATGATTCTAGGAACTCCTTGTTAAACTTGAAATAGTCTGTGTCACTTAAGCATCCCCAAAAAATACTTTTTGAGCCAAGCCTCTTAATGGAGCTCTAGATTACACTAATAAACACTTGAAGCAAAGTTAGAATCAATCAAAATCCAAAAGAGCAGCTGAGCAGCACTGAAACCACATACCACTGTAGCAGTAAGGTGAGCTGGGCCAGAAAGTGTAAGTGAGAGTACTTTTTTTCTCCTGCCAGTTGAATAAATGGATAGCACAAACAAAAGTTGTGCGATCATTTCAAAAAGACTGTCCAGAAATTGTTTATTTACACCTGTTCACCAAATGATCCCTTATAAACAACTCAATAAAACAATATATTTCATAGTAACTTTAGATTTGCTACAACAGTATATACTGCTAGACTACTTTCATAGAATTATAGAATGGTTTGGGTCGGAAGGGGCCTTTAAAGATCATCTAGTTCCGCTCCCCACCACCACAGGCAGGGACATCTTCCATCAGATCAGGTTGCTCAAAATCCCATCCAACCTGATCTTGAAGACTTCCAATGATGAGGCATCCACAGCTTCTCTGGGCAAGCTATTCTAGTGTCTCACCAAGCTTGTAAAAAATTTCTTCCTTACCTGCAATCTAAATCTGCCTCCTTTCAGTTTAAAACCATTGCCCATTGTCCTGTCACTACAGGCCTCGGTAAAAAGTCTTTCTCCATCTTTCTCATAAGCCCCCTTTATACAATGAAAGGCCGCAACAAGGTCCTCCTCCCAAGCCTTCCCTTCTCCAGGCTGAATAACCCCAACTCTCTCAGCTTCTCCTCACAGGAGAGGTGTTCCATCCCTCTGATTATTTTTGTGGCCCTCCTCTGGACCTGCTCCAACAGGTCCATGTCTTTCTTGTACTGGGGGCCCCAGAACTGGATGCAATATTCCAGGTGGGGTCTCACCACAGCAGAGTAGGAGAATCACCTCCCTTGACCTACCGGCCATACTTCCTTTAGTGCAGGCTAGGATATGGGGCTCAGGATATGGCTTTCAGGGCTTCAAGTTCACTTTGCTGGCTCATGTCCAATTTTTTGTCCACTAGTATCCCTAAATTCTTCTCTGCAGGGCTGCTTTCAATCCATTCATCCCCTAGTCTGTATTGATACTGGGGATTGCCCCAGCTAAGGTGCAGTACCTTGCACTTGGCCTTGTTGAACTTCATGAGGTTTGCATGGGCCCAGTCCTCAAGCTTGTCAAGGTCCCTCTGGATGGCATACCTTCCCTCAAGCATATCTAGCGTTGACAGATAAGAACTAAATCACAATAAGATTGGTAATTTTTTATATCTATTTTTTTAAACTATAGAGGTTTCTATCAGTAGTAAGACTCCTCCATAATGGATGCTTCATGCTACAGGCTCCTGAGCTGCATGTATTTATATATATGTTTTACTTTTCCTGCTCTGACAGAATTATACACAGAGGTTGGGTTCCAGTTTAACCTCTGGAATCATAGAGGGTGACATAACAGTGCTCTGAAGATGGTATCACTTGAAGTGACTGGAAAGGAAAGATGAAACTCTTAAGTTGTCACCTGACCAACTTCAACATTTCAATTCTAATTCTAATTAAGATTTTAAAAAAATAAATAATTCTTTCTAATCTCTTGGCTATATATACCCTTGTATCATGGCCTATAAATAGTAACTCTTAAGTCCAAATAAATATATTTTACCTGCTGCCCTGTAATTGTATCCGTGTCCAATACAAAGGCTTCATGGGACGGCTAGGTTCAATGGCAGGTTTTCGAGGACCTTGGTTTGAAGATAAAGTGCTATTAAAAAAGAACCCAGGCCCAGGAGGTGGAGGGGGTGGAGGTAACCCAGATCCAGGCAGTGGAGGAGGAACAGGAGGTCCCAACCCTGGAAGCGGTGGTGGTGGCGGCGGTGGTGGTGCTTGAAAATTCCTACAGCCTTCAGAAAGTGGAGGTGGCAGTGGTGGACCAGATCCAAACTGAGATGTCAGTGAATTCGGACCCGTTGGCAAAGGTGGTGGTGGAGGAACTAAACCTGGTAGTGAAGAATCAGGAAAGGGAGGAGGAGGAGGAGGTGGTGGTGGTGGTGGAGGAGGAGGAGGCAGCAGCATTTGTTTTGGTTGACAAGATAAGACACTTTCTGAAGATTGTACATTGTAATTGTCCTTATTTTCACTTTGGGCAGAAATACTATGTGACAAAGAAGAAATATTAAGCTTTTTGGGTACTATTTGGTTATTTTTCACAGCTCTGTTTTCTTCTTCACTAGGCTTTATGAAAGTTTCTCTGTCAGTCTGTATACATACATTTCGGTATGTCTTTGGTGGGTTATCATCCTCAGTAGAAACACCAATATCCTTTGCTTTTTCATTTCTTCTCTTTAATTTATTATCAAGTTCATTCTTCAGCTGTGCAATGGTTTCCTCAAGCTGAGCAGTTGATACAGCATGTTCTCCACGAATATGGAATACCCTGAGTTCAAACTGAGACTGAAGAACAACAAAAAATCCCTTAGTGAAAATATTTTTGTGAAGTGTTTATTTTGTAGTAATTAAAAATCCTCACATTTAGACTGTGTCCTTACTTTAAGGAAATCATAATGACAGAAATACTTCACTTTACGAGTTCTAAATGGCATTATTGCAAGCTATTACATATTTGGACAATTACTATTTACTAGAAATGTAAGCAATGTGTGTTTCAACAAAATATATTTTATGAGCAAACATCCAGCACATCAATTTAGCACATTCTAACTTGTCCCTTGTCTTTAAGCAGACTTACCACTTTTAAATTGCTGAATGCAATAATTAATAGTTCATTATGGAAAAAGGTACCTTTTTTGAATGGTATTGTACTTAATGACATTATTTTATTGACTATTTCATATCATAAATATGCCATTATATATAGTTAACATGTTAGGAAGTAAAAAATTGATTAAACATAAGAGAAGTTGAAATTCCTTACGGATAAAACATTAAACAAACAAATTAAAACACTTTGTCAATTTATTAAAAGTGTTCTCATCAATTAAATTCACAGAGGTACACCTAAATTCTCCTTCAAATTTATCTTTACAATTAGATTAAAACTTCATTTCTACCAGATATATTTTAATCTACAATTCAGGAAAATAAATCTTAGAACGAAGAGGCTCAGGATGATTTCACTGAGGTAGAAGAAAATAACAATCTTTCAAGAATAAATGTAAGTAAGGAAGAAAAAACACCACTTCTCTTACCATGTATCAGGAAAATATAAAACATTTGACTCAGAAATATCTCCTTTAAATAATCCAATCCAATATTGCTATTCCAGATGATTAAGTCCCTACAAGCTATTTTCTGTTATGCCATGATACTATCAGGCAGCTGACTGACGTTATCTTGTTTCTGTGCAAGGCAATGACTCCTGAAAGAGCATTTTCCATGGTTCTTTCAGGATCTCTGTACAAAAAGAAGCCAACACTGCAACCAGAACCAGCTAATGAGCTGTGATTTTCCCAAATTCCTGCAGGCACAGCAATTTACACTTAAAAAATTCCCACATAGTGCTGGTCAGACGTGGCAACATAGCACTCCCTACTTATCATTCCAACTTGAGTATTAGGTCAGAGTTAATAGTTTACAGCATTAATATGCATCCAAGTCATGCACCTGTACCTCAGTATGGAAGATACGGTAGTGTAATACACTGTAACTTTATATCATACAAAGAAGCTTCAATTAATATGCAAAAAATACATGTTATTTCTTATAGCAGTATGATCAGCTTGCATTCTAATCAATTTGTTAAGATAAAGTCTAAAGTAAAAAAATCTGAACATATAGGATACAAAATACTCCTTTTCTTAACTGGCAAGTATAAAGCGGGGAAATCGGGTTTAAAGTCTTGCAAAGATAACCAAACAGAGATTTGTATTGGAAACAACCCAGTTTCTATTAGTTTTATAGACGAACTAGGAAAAATAAAACATTTTTTGCTTGGCTTTTTTTCTTTTCCTACTGTTACTCTATCAAAGTTTGTTGTCATTCAGTTTAATTATTAGTTCAGTTCAATTATTAGTTCAGTTCAACTATCACAAGGTTTTCTGCCATTTGAATTGCTCCAGAGAAATCACCTTTCTTTTTAAACTTGGCATACTGATCCATAAATGAGGTAATGAAGTAATTTTGCCTTGGGGAATTTACTTATTTTGTTTATCATAGTATTTTGCCCCTATTAGACATCAAAAACTCCATGATGGACCAATTCACTTTAAACGTTAAAAATTTTCCCAGCAGTAAATCTGAAGTCACTTTAAAAACACACTGTAAAACAAGCACAGTATTTAACAAAACTACTTGTTACATTTAACTAGGCATGAAAGCAACTGTGTTAGTATTATATACCTTTTCAACTACAGAACTTCAGTCTTTAATTTACAACATAAAATTGGTGGTTTAAAATCAAAATTATATTTGAAAGGGTAGTTTTATGCTTTGTCTTGCTTTTTACTCTTTCACATTTTCAAAATTATTTTCTGTTAATAAAAATTATGAAATTATTAACATAAACAAGAATTAAAGCTAAAATTACAGATAAAATCACTAAGCTCAAAAACAAAAAGTGGGCTTAATAAAAATGATACATTGGGACTCTGCCTTGAACATCTCATCAATAGTGAAGATCAATCTTCTCCAACTGACTGCAACATAAAAGAGCAGTAAGTAATAAAACAAGTTTTTATTTTAATTACCTTACATCTCAAAACAAACCTTCACCAAAATAAGATTAATATTGAAATCTTTTTAGTTTACATAACTATGATGGTATTTTCAACAAAATTTTCAAGCACATCTATTATTAATATGTATTATTTTTATATATACATACATATTCTTCATAGAGGTCTGCTTCCTGGCACATATTTCTTCAAAAGAGATTAAATACTCTAAAATCTTATAATAAATCAAATGGAGATCAAACAGCATCCAGTCATTCCATACAGGTAGAATTTAAACGTTCTCTTTCTGTCATTTAATATGACAAGTATGTATAAAGTCTATTACATTTTCTTTAGTATACCACTAAGGACTAGTTAGATACATTAGATACATTACATAATAAAGAAAATCAGTGTGTACCACACTTAGGCACCTTTGACTCCTGAAAATAGGTCAATAAATAAAAATAATTTTCAAAAAACATTAGAATTTTCACTTGTCTGTGGCTTAAAACATTTCACATGGCGCCACCCATTAGAATGAAATATTAGAATTCAGGCTACAGAATACTTACTGATAATCACTAGACCTCAATATACAAATCCCATAGGAGCATACGAAAAACTCAAACTAAAACTAAACTAACTAAAATTAACTAAATTCAATTGATTAAATTAAAGTTTAAGTTAAATAAATTTTGATGCAAACTTTTCATCAATACAACCATTCATTATGCAAGAGCATTTCTTGACTTGACAAATGGGTTGTTCTTTAGAAGTTGTGGGATTTGTATTAGTTTAGTATCCTTCTTCTGATGCATGATACATCAAATGTATCTTTATAATAAAAATACTAACTCTAAGTCACTAAATATTGCTATAGCAATTGGTGATACAGTACATATCCAGGCAAATCTTTTCTTTCTTACAATTCATAAAAGAAAGGATAGGAACAATGGAATCTTTTTACACTTTACATTATAAATAAATCTAACGTACTGAAATGGAATATAATAGAAGTATTTCCATCTCACAATTTCAAGTGGGAAATAAATGAATCAAAATTACTTTTACACTATATGCTGTCACCAGAATCCTGAAATATTAATATAATGTGAACACAGAGACATTTTACTGAATAGAAAATTAGCGTTAGAAGCATTGTGCACAACTTTTGCAGTTAAAATACTGTTTTCATCTAAATGGAAATGAAAGCTTTTTTACTATAGTATACTTACGTCTACCAAAGCTTACAGTTCTATTTACAGTTCTATTTTATTTTATTTAGCTGTCTAGCAACACTCCTTTAAAATGTTTATGATGGTTACATAATAATACCTGTGGCTGCTGGGAAGAACCAATTTTTAGCTAAATTCGGATCCACAGGGATTTGAATAAATTATTTTGTTGATAGATAGATACAGTTCAAATTATTCAGTATCTTGTTACTGAATCATGTCAGCAATTGCTATCATGTTGGCAATACACCGAGTCTGTTTTCATGGCATGGCATGCACCAGAAGCTTTGGGAACTGCTGTTAAGATGAACACTGACTAAAGGCTATCATCAAATTATAATAGTTTGGTCACAGCTCATTTAAGCAGAAAGAAATGGGAAAGAAAATTTCAGCAGG